CAAAGCTGATGATTACCACATGTTAATCTGTTATTTTAAAGTGCTGTAAGAATGAAATAGTTGTGACTTTATCTGGGGTGGGGTACAACACAAACAAGACTAAGTTGAATGTTGATGTACCCAAAACCTAAAATGGTCAAAAATAAAAATGTACCTAAAACCAAAATGGTCAAAAATAAATGTAGATTTTTATTGACTAAATTCAGTAAAAAAAAAAAAATGCACAATTAATTACTTGATTTATAGCATGTAATGGTCAACACAAAATCTTGTTGTTCAATATTGTGACACAAATTCTAAAAACTGATTTTTTTTTTTATTTTTACTACAAATTGTGCTAACTCCTCATTTTGTATATTTGACACAGAGGCAGAAATTTTACTTGTAGTTCTGAGTTTTGTTTCAGGACTTAATACACTTGATGGTAAATTATTAAATATGGATGGTGGATTTGGGAGTCATACTTTTCCTCTAGTGTTTCATAGATGAAAAATGCCTTTTACAAACAATAGTGTTTGGTTTGTTGCAGGTGTTAGCCTTTAGCCACCAATCATTATGCTTTTGGGTTAAAACTTTTTTTTATAATGAAGATAAAATTAAAATATTGCAATTTCAAGGAAAATACAATAAACAAATCATATACTTCAATGTCTTAAATAATAAATATAAATTAATCCAAGGGTCAAAGGTAAATACTTATTTTTAAAGACTAAATTGTTTATGGTGTTACCAGCAACAAACTTTTGTTATCACATGTTAAGCTTAAAATCATTGGCTCCCAGTTAGACAGAACATGTGCACACTTTCTTGGCCTTTTCTTTCAATTGTCTTGATTAAATGCAAAATTTAAGCTTTTTTGGGGAATTTTGCCCTATTTTTGCTTTAATTTTTCTCTTAAGTGTAAATAACATTTCTACAATTCCATCATTGAGATGCAAAACCATTTAGGTGCTAAAAACTACAAATATTCACTTGACTATTGTACAAGCTCAATGTGCAGATGACTATTATTACTAATGACTATGGTATATATACACTGTAGCTATAAATATTAGTGTAATAAACAATTTGACCAATCTATGATGAGAAGATCACACATGTATTTGAAAATTTACCAAGCTTAACTTATTTCTGCTACAGAGCCATAAGTACAGGGTCTCCAGCAAGGATTAAACATCAACTTGTTTCTTATAATATTAGAGTTGTTATACTTTTTGACTTTTTTCAAATGTTTGTTGTATTTGTTAATCTCCTCAGAATTTCTCACTGAACTGTCTATTTAATCTCAGAGCTTTTATCCAGAGTTTGAACTTGTGACCATCAGATAAACTGCATACAATCAATCCATCCATTCTATAAGAACTAACACAGCAGTTTGAATAAATCGGTATATTTTTCATTTGAGAAATTCAGACAGAAATTAGATTCATTTGAATTTGTAATTATACAACAAAACTACAAAATGAATCACCAAAGATTTTATTTTATTTTTTCTCAACAAAAGGAATTTATCTCCTATTTTACTTGGGCTTGGATTTTCATGTGAATTTTTGTCTCGAAAGATGTCATTTGAAAAGAAAAAAAACCTAAAAATGAAAGAAAATCGGGTCAGCAATTTCATATTTTTTGCACTTCAGCAAACACATGCATCTTAACCTTTGTATTCACAACTGACCTTAATTTTTTTTGTCAAAATCATTTGATGCTTAACTGCATTGGAATCAATTCAATAGGCGTATGTCTCTCTGCAACAAGTCAGTTTTCAATGTCTAATATGTTCCTTTTTATTTATTTACTTTATGGGATTTGAAGTTCTTATTGGTTTTAATGGCACATTGATTCATATAATAATGGTCATGGAGTGCCAAACAAGGACATTTATGGAAAATAAATTTTAACATCCTGGAGGACAATACCTATTCATACTGGGGTAGAGTGTGTGCAAGCTAGGGTGTAGTGGATATCCTGATAAAACTTTCAGTTTATGGCAATCTTATGTCTTAGTAATGGTTATTGATGAGGAATGGAATTGGAGAGCTGAGTTTTATTCATTTTCATGCCAATGTCCTTGAGAAAGGTATAAACCAATCTCTTCTTCCAGCAGCTATGGGTTAGATAAAACAGATTGTGCTTCCTAGCTTTGCAGTGAGTGGGGTTGTCAGCCAGTCTAGAACTATGAACTGTGAAAGCAATAGGAAGCCACTATCTTAGGAAGTCATAACAGTTCATAGATAATAAAGTAAAAAGAGTCTGTGGAGAACAGTGATCACCCGAATGAACAGGGCATTTAAAAATAAGAAACACTTATACCAATGCACTGTTGTGTTGTAGATTTAGATGATAATGCATGCTGCAGTAAGTTTCTATATTAGGAAAAAGTTCAGTGTAGAAGTAATTCCACAGAATGGTGTATTTCAGTGTACACATGTTGCAACCAAATGTGAGACAAGATTGTGGGTTTACTGGCAATACTGTTTAAAAATTGCTCGAGGTACTTCAGCATTTTCCTTTTGGAAGACTCTCCTCAGGTGCTGCATCTCTGGTAGAAGTGAAGATACAACCTAGAGGGATAACCCCCACCACCCCGAGTCTTGAGCTAATATTAGTTTTAACTTCCCCAATGGAAGCTAGGAAAGAAGTCATCTCATGGAAGTGCACATGAGCTAATTTTGTTCTAATAAAGTCATTTGAGAGGGCTTAGAGTGTGGGTCTCTGATAGACTCTGGATGTTCACTTCAGAAAATTGCCACAAATGTTGGATGTGATGTAACATTTTCAATGTTGGCAACAGTGTTTGAATGAATATTCCTACATTTTAAAAAGCCATGCATGACAGGATCAGTGAATTGAAAGAGGAGCAGTGGCACACTGCATGGTGTGTACAGCATATATCATAGCAAATGTGGTCACAAGTGTGTCAACACAGACTTTTGGGAATCATATATTTGCAGTGGGACAACAAGCACACATGTGTCTGAGATTTTCGCTTCCACCACAACACCACTGTGAATGTCTTTAGTGTTGTTGCAAGAGGGTCATGTAGCACTCAATGATAAGATCGTGTTCTGCCTTCATGCAAGTGATGGTTGTTTGCAGGTGTAGATTTGGGGTGCAAACCTTTCAAGTGTGTTCTTGCTCATGAGACACATGCCCAAACCCTGGCATTATAGTGTCATAAGTTACACACACACACACACACACACATATATATATATGTGTTATATATATATATATATGTGTGTGTGTGTGTGTTTATATATCTCTCTCTCTCTCTCTCAACTTTGGTGTTTGTGGAGGAAATGCAGGACAATGCTATATATATTTTAGAACATTGTTCAACTTATTCTGCTACCATTTCTACAACAGGAAAAGTGACACTCTGTTCCAGCAGGATAATGCCTGCTGAAATGATGCCCTTACCACTCAACATGCTCTGTAAGATATTTGACAACTTTCCTTGACCAGCACGAACACTATATCTGTACTCCATTGAATATATATGGAACATGATGAGATGATGCTGTATTGTCTCAACAGATGTGGAATAATTTTGTATGATGGTATTTGCCATATGTACAATCTTATGAATGTACCCAAGGATTATATCTTCCTTTATGTGCCATGTCCCTTCAAGACATGGGTGAATATGGCTCTTCATAAACTAATTTTTTATAGCTTTCCTTACTATTCCTCCCAGTTCCTGTTCTATCATCTATGAGCACGTTTCTCATGTCCTTTCAGGAGGTGGGAGATCATGGCTCTCCACAACTTCCTATCCTTTGTAGCTCTGATTAATGTTTATCTCCTTACTGTACCTCCTATTTCCTGTTGTGCTCTCCATTTACCCAAACTTGTTAGGTAGGTTACCTGCTGTTTCCTTCTGACTTGTCTTCAATGAATATCAAATTGTCCAAGTCTTCTTTCATCATTATGTGTCCAATCTAGGGATTTCAAATTTCTTATATGAAGTATAAGTGTCCTCTTGTTTCCATTTTCCTTAAAAACATCTTTGTTGCCCATAGATTCCCTTCATAGTATTTTTAGAATTCTGTTGAACAACTTCTTCATAGGTATTCTGTTGAACAACTTCTTCATAAGAGCTTTGATATTATATAGCAGATTACCAAATGATTATAAGCCATTTTTGTACTGCTGAGACATTAGTTACTTTTGAATCAGCCTGTTATAGTTTACTTTAATTCAGCTATAATGCCTATACATTTAATTCCGAGTCGAGTTGAACTGATTAATCAGCTAGTAATATAGTTAGTGGCCCACTGCCTTCGTATTTTTTCAGAAATTTTTGAAATCCTGTCAGATCTGAAGACATTAACTTTTGCCTGAGTTAATTCTACATTGAATTAACAAATTAAACTTCTCAACAGAAGACACAAACATCATTTCTGACTTAAAACTTACCATTTTTTTCATTCTTTTTAGTCATAATTTCCTTTTGAGTTGAAATTCACATATTGTATTTAATACAAATTTAACATTTGATCCTTGTTCAGTGCCATCAACAATGATTTGGTTTCAAAATTTTAAAAATAGTTAAACTGTCAATGTTTATAACAACATCAATAATATTGATTATGATGATTGTAAGTACTTCTGGTCCCAGTAGGAAATGCTGGGAGTAGAACAGATCAGAGTTTGAATAAAGTTGTAAAGTTTACCACATCTTGTGTCATCTTTGTGTTGCTTCAACTTTTCAGCAGTCCATATAATGTCTTTCAAAGTCAATTTTTATTATTTGTGTATATTTAGATATTGTATTATATTTAAGTATTATTTATTTTGATTAAATTTTGTTAAAATTTTCAACTTTTTTATTGATTTGATTAAATTGTAAAATTGCACTTGCATTTCAAATAAATGCACTTTTTTATTTTTATTTATTTTGCAGTCATGATTCACCAAAAATAAAATATTTCAAAAATGAAAAAAAAAAAAACGAAAATTTTTTAATAAAATATTTAAATTGATTTTTTTCTTTATAGCTACATTGATGAAAATTCCAAAAAGTTTGTGGAGCGTCTTGCGACAGCAGTAGCTATTCCAAGTGTTTCTGCTTCTGAAGAGAACCGTCCAGATGTTTGCAGTATGGTGAAGTGGACAGCAGAAGTAAGATGTTCACTTTTGATTTTGAATTCTTTAAATTATCTTTTAAAAGTTCCTGCTCCTCTAATTCTAACAAAATGTTGTAGAACAATAGTCAAAAAGCTACTGTTGTAAACCTTTACTATTCTAGTAAGTTTGGTATTTTTTCCCACCAAGTGCTGTACATTTATCCTTGTGCCAGACTTTTCTTCTCTTGCTATTGACTAACTTGAACTTATTCCAGTGCCATAAAAAATTGACATTCTTTCATCCGAAGCTACATTTTAAATTTACCCTTGGAATTTCTTTGAATGAGGGACACAATATTGTGACGCTCAAATTGGATCTGGACATAACATCATGCTTCAGACAAGATCTTGTTTTTCCTGAGTGAGAGAGAAAAGGATAAGAACTCTACCGAAGAGAAAGATAAAACCCATTGTTGGCCAGCAGACTATTGCAGCTGCATTTTCTACCTCTGACCCTGCTTCCAGAGCTGGCTCAATCCTCCAAGAATAAATCAGCACAGCCTGTACTTATGTTTGCCTCCTCTTTTACTGAGCTTGATGAGTCAACTGTAGACAGGCTGCAATCCCTTTCATCTTTTAAAAAAAAAAAAAAAGCAGCAAACTTTTCTTGAAGTGGCTCACAAAATACAAATGCCTTCACTTTTCAGATGAAAACTTTGTCCTGTGACATTTGTACTAAACTATAACAAAATGGACAGACATCTGTACATAAACAAATGCACTTTCAACATTCTACCCTTACTCCATGTTTTAAGCCAATGGTTCCTAAACTTTTTTCCTAAATTCTGGGCTGCATTTTTGGAATTAAAATTAGCTTGTGCCTCACTAAATTTTGTGTGATAAAAAGTACATTTAAAAATAAAAAAACCAATGTGTTAAATATAAGACATAACTTAAAATATGATTAAAGTACACAAATTTAATGAAAGCTATGAGCTTGTTTTTGGTGAGTAGTTTCAGAAAGATAAGTCCCAGTGAAAAGGTACAAGCAACCTGACAAGAGAAGGTCCAGAGATAGGATTAACTACAGATTCGAAATCAGAACATTATCATTGATAACTCTCCCCCCCAAATTTGCAGAGCCTAGTTACTATATATAATACACAATGATAAAATCAGTCAATAATTATTTATAACTACTTATACTGGGACTCATGTATGCAATTACAAGTAATCCATAATAATATTTTAAATTTTGAAATCATTTACTTTTGACATGTGAATTTTTTTAAACTGTTTCTAAATCTGATTGTCTTTCAATCATTCTGCATCACCTATTATCTTCTTCCGCCACACCTATAAAGCATGCCACACCATTTGGGAATGACCATTTTAAGCACCAGTCCTGCAAAAAGAATTAGAATGAAGTAAGGTGAAATTAGACAGTCAGTAGGACAAAGCAGCAAATAATGCTGTTAAAAGCCTCACTGGATGGCCCAGGAGGGAGGACACCCCCCCCCCTTCAAAGTTTGATTTGTTACATAGCTTTCTGACAGGGAGTGGAGTCCTAGATCTCTTACCTCTACAACAAAACCCAGTAACATATTTGTGACATACATCTGAGGAACTGCTACCCAGTATGGCAGGAACTGTACATGTAGCTCTAAAAATAAATAAATCCACATTTGTGACTGTGCTCATAGATAAATCTACAGACATAACCAACCACAAATGCCTTGTTGTATATGTCCAAATTATTGATCTTGAGTCTGAAATGATGCAAGATCAATAATTTGGACATATACAAGCACTCATTTTGTTGTAAATAAAGAGTGTGTTGATACAACAGGTGTTGGAATTGTAAATTGCTTTCAGGTAGTGATGTCAGAACGGGAAGTCCCATTAACCAAAGTGATGAGCATGGGAGCTGCTGTAATGACGATGAGAAACAAAGGCTGTACAGGTATACTACTTAGGTTCAACCCAAACATGGGTAATGTGCACTGTGTTGCCGGCTCTTTGGCCTTGTGTGCATCTCGAGCATCAAAGTCAATAGCAGATATTAACTGCTATATTTTTATTACTTCTGTATGCTAAACAAGCAGTCTAAATAAAATGATCACATAAAAAGAGCTGCATTCCATTTGGTGGCTATCATACTACAGTGCTCTTCTTCAGACTTAGTCAATTGATATCCTGCTGACTTCTCTGAAATATCTCATGATCTCAGCAAAGACTAAAAAATGGCTTAAAAAAAAAAAAGATTTCAAAAGAGAAGTTCATCAACTGCTCTGATGGATATCATGGCCCCTGTTACAGTCTTATCCCATTTCACACAAACAGAAAATGTGCATTTTGCTTTAATAAAAGTGAAGCTAGATTTTTGCCATCTGGCAAAGATCAAGGCAATGTCATCTCCCAACCTGGCAGTATTAGCCAGAGACATCCAGACCAACATGTACTAGGGTGATCATCAAATCACAAAGGTAAGGAACAAGAGCACTATGCTAGAGAATGTTTCAGTTTATTTGCAATAGCCTGTCTTTAACCATGAATAACTTTTCTTGTCAAAATGTAAACATACAATGTGACAATTGTCCAAGCTTTCTCCTGATAATTACCCCATACTGAATTTCAATTCTCTATCTCATCGGTGTTCACAAACAGCTGGGAAAGGGTCTGCTTCATGCTAACAAGATGAAAGACAAATGCTATGTCAGCTAATAGCACAACCCTGTTTCCTATATTATAAAATAGATGTTTGTCTGCGGGGGTAGGTAGGTGATACTTGGGATACTTCTATGATGTTTGTCTAACAGCTCAGCTCTCCCCCCCCACCTACTTGGTGTGGTGGCTGGTCTATATGAATGGAAGGCACAAGAACCATGTGATGGACAAGTCTGTCTCCTGTCAAGTGCTAACCTAAACTCTCCCCAATCCCAAGCATGAGTTAACCAGCACCTGGATATAGCCTATTTGGAGTTTTGTTGCCACTTGATCTCCAAAAAACCATCATCATCTCCTTTATTTCCCATTTTCCATTTCCCTTCAGTCAAAATGGATGCTGCTTAGAAAACTACTTAAAAAAGGACCACCTACTGGTTATTAAACAGAAACAGTTTATAAATCCACCTCTTTCCTTTCCATGTGGGTGTTCATAGTATCACAAGGGCATGACATGTAAGAGTTAAGTAAAGAAGAATTGCTTAGTAGTCTGTGATAGTTACAAATTTCCCACTAGCACTTGTAGTTGGTGTTTGAGCACTTGAGTAAAAAAAAAATATATTTTTTAATACTAAATTTAATGGCAGACATTATATCCATGTTTAGAAGATAAACACATGATTTTCTCATCCCCATTTCTTCCCATTTGGCCTCATGTTGTTAATATTTAAATAAATTTTCTTTTTTTTTTTTTTTTATTTGGTTGAACTAGCTCTGTGTTGTGTCAGAAACCTACCACCTCTCTTGAAGATGAACTTGTCTGCGAACAAAGACTTTAAATAGTGGCATGTCAGTTGACATGGGGGAAGAGACAGATAGTCAGAGAAGTTCTTAGCTGAACTAGTTATTGACTACTCAGGCAATTTCTGTACCTTTTTACCAACCTATTAAAACCCTTTTTATTGTTACGTGTTATTTGGCGTTTGTCTCTACTAACCCCAAATCAACATCATAACAGTGGCGACGAGAGATTCGTTCAACACGCTGAGTGGAGAATTTTTCAACTAGGTGGACTATATAAACTTTTTTTTTTTCCTCGCTCTGAAAAAAAAAAAAATACGTCGAACTTTGTTCTTCAAGAAGAAATAGGATTTCAACGTGCCAAAAAGAAGTAAGACTTGTGCTTATTGTTGGATATATACGTGTTTTTTCCCTTTTTTTGACTGTTTTTGAAAAGTGTTTTGTATAATCTATTACGCATAATGGAAGATTTGATTGCGTTAACGAAAACTCTAGTGCAAAATCAAATTCAGCAACAAGAGCAACAAAAATTGTTTCGGGAACAACTATTGGATTTACAAGTTCAGCAGCGAAATGACACAAAGGCTTTATATGAAGCGATTTTACTTAAGAATCCAGTAAATTCGTCATTCACGGTCGAAGGTATTGCTAATTCTATTACCGAGTTCAAATTTAACCAAGAGGAGGGCATAACATTTCCTGTGTATTTCAGAAGATTTGAAAAAAAATGTGAAGGTTGGACTGATGAACAAAAAGTGAGTTTACTTTTATAAAAGTTGGGTACAGATGAAAATAATAAGTATACGAATTTTGTCCTCCCAAGAAAAACTGGTGACATTTCTTTCGAAGAAACTGTTAATACTTTATCTAGTATTTTTGGCGAGCGAGTTAGTTTGTTTCATACTCGTTTCTCGTGTTTGAATATGGTAAAGCGTGACGATGAGGATGTTGTTATGTATGCTGGAAATGTTAACAGAATGTGTGAACGTTTTATGTTACATGATCTTTCAATTGATCAATTTAAATATTTGATATTCGTTCAAGGCTTGACTTCTAGCAAAGATGAGGACATAAGGTCCCGAATATTGGCAAAACTCGAACAAAATTCCGAGATCACTTTGCAGAAGGTTACGGAAGAGTGTCAAAGAATTGAAAACTTAAAACATGACAATACGCAAATTGAAGAAAAAGACGTATCCCGTGTCCATGCTATTCGACCAAAAACGGGAATAGTTAATAAAAATGTTAAAAAACAAATGTGCTTGGGATGCGGTGGTGGTCATTTCAAAAGTGAATGTTTTTTCGCGACAAAAATTGCTATTCATGTGGCAATAAAGGCCATATAAGTACTCATTGTAAAAGCAAAAGAAAAAAATTTAAGTCGAAAAAAGATAATGTGAATATTGGGTTGTCATGTCAGGAGATTGAGGAGGGGCAGAAAAGAAAATTCGTACAGGTAAAAATTAATGAAAAAAAAGTTAAACTACAGCTAGATACGGGAAGTGATATTTCCATTATTAATACAGCAACATGGATTAAAATAGGCAGACCTTTGCTTAAAAAGACTGAAAAAAAGTGGCTTATGGATTTCTGGAAGAAAATTGCATTTTCAAGGTGAATTTTCTTGTAATATTTCATTTGTTGGTAAGACACTAAAGTCTAAAGTGTATGTGCTACAAAAGGCTTCAAATTTGTTTGGAACAGATTGGATTATACTTTTTTAATTTATGGAACTCCGTATAAATTCTTTTTTGCAATAGAATTAATGTTTCTTCTCCATGTAAAAATCGGGTTACAGAAAATTTGGTGAAAGATCTGAAAATAAAATTTCCACAAGTATTTTCAGAAGGTCTTGGATGTTGCAAAAAGATGAAGGCAAAATTTGAAGTGAAGGAAAATGTAAAACCTATTTTCAAGTGAAAAAGAAATGTGCCATTTGGTGTTTTGGAACAGATTAACAAAGAATTGGAACGGCTTGAAAATTTAGGAGTTATTTCATGCATTGAATTTTCAGAGTGGGCCTGCCCTGTTGTATATGTTGTTAATAAAAAGAATAATAAAATTCGGATGTGTGCCGATTTCTCTACAGGTCTAAATGATTGCTTAAAAGACCACACATATCCTTTGCCTTCACCAGAAGACATTTTTGCAAGTTTAAATGGAGGAAAAATATTCTCTAAATTGGATTTATCGGATGCCTATCTCCAAGTGAAAGTGGACAAAGAATATTCTAAATTGTTGACTATCAATACACACAAGGGTTTATACAAATTAAACCGTCTGCCTTTTGGTTTAAAAAGTATCCCTAGTATTTTCAGCAAATTATGGACACTGTGCTGGCAGGGTTGGACTTCGCCATTACATATCTTGATGATATTTTGATAAAAAGTAAAGATCGAAATGAACATTTGGAACATATTAACCAGGTTTTTGAAAAAATTGAAGAATATGGATTCAAACTTGCAGCTGAAAAATGTGAATTTTTTATGAGTGAAATTAAGTTTTTGGAGCAGATAATAGACTCTGATGGAAGAAGACCAGATCTGGTGAGGGGAGAAGCGATCAAAAGCATGCCAACTCCCAAAAATGTAGTAACGCTACAAACGTTCTTAGGACTTGCTAACTATTATGGGATATATATTCCTAATTTGTGCAGCCTTACGGCTCCATTAAATAAATTGCTTAAAAAGGGAGCAAAGTGGGAATGGTCAGAAGTGTGTCAGAAGGCGTTTGACAAAATAAAGAATATTTTGACGTCGGAATTATCACTAACACATTATGACCCTAAACAGGAAATTATAGCGGCATCGGATGCAAGTGAGTACGGAATATGTGCGGTAATTCTGCATAAATTCAGAGACGGCAATATGAAGCCAGTGGCACATGCATCAAGGACATTATTACCCGCAGAAAAGAAGTACTCTCAAATTGAGAAAGAAAGCTTAGCTATCATCTATGCTTGTAAAAAATTCCATAAGTACATACATGGAAGAAGGTTTATATTGCAGACCGACCATCGCCCGCTGCTTTCAATCTATGGTTCGAAGAAGGGTATACCTACTCATACGGCAAACCGTTTGCAACGATGGGGAACCATTTTGTTGAATTACAATTTCAAAATGGAATTTTTATCATCTAAAAAATTAAGCCATGCTGATGGTTTATCTAGACTGATCCAAACGTCTTTGGAACCGCTAGAAGATACGGTGATAGCGTCGTTACAAGCAGAAAATGAATTGGTTAAAGTAATGTATAACACAGTAAAAGAATTACCGGTGACATTAGATGAAATAAAATTAAAATCAGAAAATGACATTTTTATTAAAAAAATGAAAGAAGTTGTAACTTCAGAAAAGTATAAAACTTCTTCACCAGCATATTCAATATGTGATGAAGTGCTGTTATATGCTGGAAGGATCGTGATACGGTTGTACATTTTAATGCGGATTTTGAAGGAATTTCATCAGGGCATCCTGGTATTGGACGTATGAAAGCCCTGATGAGGAGTTACATTTATTGGCCAAATATGGACAAAGACATTGAACAGGTAGTTAAAACTTGTAGAGGGTGTCAAATGGCAGCAAAAGCACCGCCAGTAAAATACACACCATATAAAAAAACAGATGTTCCATGGACTGGACTCCACATAGATTATGCTGGACCCATAAATGGTAATTTCTACTTGATAGTTGTGGATAGCTATTCCAAGTGGCCTGAAATTTTTAAGTGCAAAAGACCAACTGCTTCTGTAACAAAAGATTTTCTTACAGAACTGTTTGCACGTTTTGGAGTACCAGAAAAATTGTCACTGACAATGGAACTCAAATCACAGGAAGTGAATTTAAGACGTTTTGTAAGACTCTGGGAATTGACCACATGCGACTTCATGCACCATCCAAGGTCAAATGGACAGGCTGAACGGTTTGTTGATACGTTCAAGAGAGCCCTTAAAAAACAAATGGTATTAATACAGATGATGGTAATATACAGCAGTTTTTTAAGTATATACAGAATAACACCAAATCCAAACGCAATATCAGGGATGTCTCCAGCTGAACTGATGTTTGCTAGAAAAATTAGATCTGTATTTAATAGGCTGCTGCCGGAAAGAAAAAAGAGTTACCAGAACAAAAACGCATCAGGAAAATATGAAATATCTCAGGCCGAGATAAAGTTTTTTTTAAAAATTACAAAAATGGGAAGGAATTTTGGCAAGATGGAGTGGTAACTCAAAGAATTGGTAAGATGTTATACATGATAAGTAAAAAATGGATGCACAAAAGACATTTGAACCAATTAAGGAAAAGAATCATTGAAGAAATAAGTAAAGAAAATGAAGAACCAATGGAGGTATTATATGATTTATTCGATATACCAACTCCACCATTGCCTGAAACAGTTGTCCAAAGAAGGACAAGCAAAAGAAAAAGAACTTGGGTGAAACGTTTAAGTCCAGATCCCAAAAGAAAAAGATATTAATTCCTCCGGAATTAATCTCAAGGGGGAGGTGTTGTGTCAGAAACCTACCATCCCTCTTGAAGATGAACTTGTCTGCGAACAAAGACTTTAAATAGTGGCATGTCAGTTGACATGGGGGAAGAAACAGATAGTCAGAGAAGTTCTTAGCTGAGCTAGTTATTGACTACTCAGGCGATTTCTGTACCTTTTTACCAACCTATTAAAACCCTTTTTATTGTTACGTGTTATTTGGCGTTTGTCTCTACTAACCCCAAATCAACATCATAACACTCTGACATTAAGGAGTCTATCACACCACCCATCATAGTCCTGCATCAAGATTGGAAGTTCATTAGGGTGGCATTCTGTGTCGTAACATAGCTGGCCAATGTAGCAACCAACCTGTCTTGCACCATGGCTAGGTGTAGAAAGCCATAGATCACTCATGAGTTCTTGTTTTGCTCGCTAACAACATCCTGCAAAGCACATTCTGTGTTCATGTAAGATTTTAGAAATATCAGGGATCGGTTGGTAGAGCTGTGATTTAGTTGGATGCTGTCTCCAAGAGATGTTCAGTTTAGCTCTTAGTAGTATAGGTTCCATCAAGCTTAGATTGTCGAGTTTTAGTTAATGTCTAAGCAGTGGTACCATACATCAATACTGCCTCTACAGTGGCTCAAAAGAATCTTCACTTGAGGTTTTCTGGGGGTTCAGATTTCCAGATTACATCCATTCCAGGCTTTAGTTATGCAAATTTTCCCATTCTTTCCAAGAGAATTTATTTTATTCTATTTCCTAAGGTATAAAAGATTTGACAGATTCTATTGATTCATCTGAGGCAGTTTGTAGTGAGCCTTGCTGGTTGAAGCCTATGAATTCAGTTTTAGAGGCATTGACATAGTCCAACATTGTTGGCAGCATTTTCTAGATGATGTAGGAGAACTGTGGCATTGTTAATGGTGTCTGCAGTGATATCTACATAATAGCTGTCAACTTTGGATACTATTAATTAAAGTGAACTATTAAATTAAGTAATTAAAAAAAAATGGTGAAGACAATGATCTCCCCACTCATCTGAGAAGATAAGGATACCCATCCCAACTGAAATAAGAACCTATTGCTCTAAGAAAAAGCTATCCCTTACAAGTGGTTTTTCCAAATTCCACTTTCCAAAATCAAAAAGGAGAACTGTGGCATTTATTTGATCCTTAAAGTTCTTATTTTTCTTTCAGGAAATGAAAAAACTTGGAATCACAACTGAATTTGTTGATATTGGCTTGCAAACAATGCCGTCCGGTAAAAAAATTCCTCTCCCTCCAGTGTTACTTGGACATTTGGGTGATGACCCTGCGAAAAAAACTTTGCTTGTTTATGGTCATTTAGATGTCCAGCCAGCATCAAAGGTCAGCAAAATCTTTCTCCATTTTTACATAATCATTTAAATCAGTTAAAACATTTTGGATGACTGTTATTGTTGTGTTGAATCAAATGCACTTTAAACAATGCTTTAGTCTCTTTCAGAATTTGGTGGTGTAATTTTGACATAGACATTTGCTTTTTTTTTTCTAGGATGATGGTTGGGATTTTGAACCATTTATTCTGACAGAAAAAGATGACAAATTGTATGGCCGTGGCTCGTCGGATGATAAAGTAAGTCGAAACTAATCAAAATATTACTTATCGAATAAAAACCCAAGGGAGATCATCGTGTAAATCATTCAATCTTCTAGAACCAAAGGGGAATAATTATGTAAACCATTCAATAAAGATTTACACTTGTCATGGTGGTTTACTTATTTTAGTAGAAAGTCAATTATTCTATATTCTTTTAGAGTTAAAAAAAAATGAGATCGATTATTACTTGGATACAGCTTTAAATAGTTTGAAATTGATGCATTAATCAAAAGATTATGTTCAAACATTTTAGTTCATATCAATGATTAGATGGTTTTGGATTTGAAATTTATATACAAATTAATATCATTCCAGCATTAGAAGACCATTTTTATTGAAAAATATTATTGAAAAATATTCTATATTGCTTAAAACTTATTGAAATAGATATCATGCTAGATACTAGATAATTATTTGCATTTGTTATAGACAAGTGTATGGTTGCAAGAAAGAAATACGACAACAGTAGAAATAGATTTACGTGGTTTATTTCAACAGGAACGTAAGGGTTTAGGACAGCTACCTTGGTGTGGTAAAGTTCATAAGCCGGCTTTCGGATCTAGGTCGATCTCTCATAGTAGTTCACACATGTTGATGGTGGTTGACGCTCTCCTGCTGACAGCTGCTAAACGTGACTGGTCTCCCTTGTGGCCACCTGTTGACATTATTTATTGTACTATGTACAAATGTGGCACAAGGCCGAAAAAGGGGGTTGGGGTAAATGACGGTCATCACTTGTCTTAGATTAAAACTTAGCTAGCCACATCCACTGACCCTATCATACTGAACAATATTCCATTCACCAAAACAACACATTTATCCATACCTTTCTTACTACATACACCAAAATGCCTCTTTGACTCCATGAAAAAACCTAAATAATCCCCTTATGTACAAAATATTGTCTGTGGGGAGAGGGGCATAAAAACAACAACTTCTAAAATGATCCCCAATGAATATATACACAATGACAAAATATATTTACAAGGAACCAAATAAAAATAGTGTTAGTAATAAAACCCCCCACAAACTTTTGAATGTGGCAGAAATATCAGTTAACCGGACGAAATCGATGCGGGACTTATGAAAATAAAGGCCACACTCATTCTTCCCAAGCATTCACACAGGCACACACTCATTCATACACAACAACAATTACGAAAAACACACACACGAAACGAAAGACGCCCCGCATCTACCAGAGAACTGACATCACTGACCACCTAAAACGAGGGAGGGGATGGGGAGTTAAACTAAAGGAAAAGAAAAAAAAGGGGACAGAAATAAAAGGGGACCAATGTACAAACACACCCTAGCTAAGTTTACCAGAATAGAAAAACTAAAAGAAAAAATACAAAAACCCTAATCTAACCTAACTCCGGGATGGGTTGCCTATGTTGAACCCAGGAAAACAATATCCTAATGCCTAACCGGCATCAAAATGCCACTCAAGGTCAGCCCCTTTTACTCGGCACATACGCGCAAGATTCACCCACCTTTTGTTGAATTCCGATGAGGTGAGCCGCGTCTTTTTTTCGTCCTGATCTTGACTTTAAGCTGATGCTTAAAGAACAAGATCAGTTGGGAAGAAGTGAACTTCTCGCCCTCATGGAATCCCTTCTGGCGCGTCGTCCAAATCACGACTCTCATAACCCCTAGTAGGCAACAGAACACATAGTGTTCCGCCTTCGTCATCTGCGGCACCACATTGCTACAAACAGAACAGGCTTCCAGGACAAAAACTTTCCCTGCAGCATGCGAACCATGAGGCCTTCAACAAACTTGCACAACGGCACTACCGCCCTGCACTGAAAGAAGGCGTGACCAATGGTCTCGACTTCCCCGCACAGCGACGACAGTTTGGATATTTCTCCAAGCCTGCTGAACAAAGTCTCTTGCCGACCCAGAGGGCTTCACGAATCACCAGCCAGGTGAGTGATGCCTCATCGTTATTGAGGCATTTCAACCCAGGCGCCCAAAGGCCATATCGAGCGAGCCTCCTGCTTCGTAAGACTGAGCTCGCCAATCAGATCATCTTGTACGGACCCCCTAACTAAAACTTGATATAATGCCTTGTGAGACAACGCCTGGGCGTTGGAGAGGCCATCCGAAGCCCGTAAGAGGAGCTTCAGAGCGCGACGACATTCACGATAAAAAGAGCACTCGGCACGTGGTGTACGGCCGGCCTCTTCTACGCACGAGTGCACACTTTTCAGGGACGGGAAATGTTTCTGGACGTCTTCTTTCCAAAAGGCACCCTCCTCATTCGACCCCGACACATTCGGTCTAAAAGGGTAATGCGGAAGCATATATTGACGAATCTCAATGCTAGGCATCCCCAGACCGCCCTCAGAGGGATGGAGGCAACAGACCTCGCGAGATACCATAGGGGCCTTGCCTCTCCACAAGAAAGAGAACAAGGTCCTGACTAATGACATTAGTCGGGCATACGGGAGTGGAAGCACAGAGAGTCGGTAGAGGAGGATCGGATAGATGTGTGAAACACATACTTCCGCCCTTCCCTTCAGGGAAAGTCTCCTCCGAGACCACAGATTAACCGCGATCTCGGCCTTCCCTTGTACCTCCGACCAGTTCATTTCCAACTGGAGATCAGGACCGAACCAGACGCCGAGTATCTTGATCGGCCCATCCGTCCAGAGGAAAGGTCCGGGAAGAGAAACTCCCTTCCACGCACCCAACCGCAAGCCCACAGACTTATCACGGTTGATCTTGGCCCCTGTCACCATCTCATACCCACTGATTTCTTTGCTGACTTCGTTAATCTCGGCTCTGCTCGACACAAGAGCCGAAACGTCGTCAGCATAGGCAGAATACCTGGCTGAGGTGGTGGCCCCAGGCAGGGTAATTCCGCGCAGGACCGGATTCGCCTTTAACTTGCGAAGGAATGGTTCCAACGCAAGAACGTAAAGCAAGGGCGATAGCGGACAACCTTGACGAATGGAGCGAGACAATACGAAAGGCTCCGACCTTACCCCATTCACTTCCACCAGCGCACCGGGGTCGCATACAAGAGTCGGATCCAGGAGCGAAAGTCGGCTCCGAAACCGCCGCCGACAGGACAGCCTCCAGAAACCGATGGTCAACCCTATCGAAGGCCTTGGACTGATCTAAATTGATCAGCGCGGCTTCACTGTCGACTTGTTCTAAGATCAAGCGTACCATATGAAGGTTATCCTGAATAGTCCTGCCCTTCACAGCACAAGTCTGTTCGGGGCCAATCAGACGAGACAGGACAAGCTGCAAACGGTTGGCTAAGATCTTCGCCAAAATCTTTAAGTCAGTATTTAACATCGTTAAAGGGCGAAAGTTCCCTAACCCATCCCCACCGTTCTTGTCCTTACGCAGCAACTTGATCACACCCCTGGTGAAGCGTCGAGGTAAAGACCCCTGCTTCATCCAGTGGTTGAAAATCAGCTGCAGCAAAGGAACAAAAACGGGCGACAGCCTCAAGTACACTTCGTAGGGAAGACCATCTAGTCCCGGAGACTTATCCAGGCCAACCTGCTTCAGCGCTTCCCAGATTTCCGACTCTGTTATGGGACCCTCGCACCTAGCCGCTTCAGCTGCCTCAAGGCAGGGAAAGTCAGCCAAATAGGCGTCGAACTGAGCAGAGCTCAGACCGGGCTCCCTGGTGAAAAGATCCTGAAAGTAAAGCCGAAAGGCCTCGCATATGCCCGCGCTTGTAGTCACGGTCCGCTTATCCGGCAATGTGACGCACGCTATATGTCGCTTAGCCGCGTTCCGATTTTCCTCTGCACGCAATTCAGCGGCCATATTCGTCGCCTCAGAAGACATTCTTTTTAGCCTAGCCCTAACTACCAGAGCTTGATCCTTCTTGATAAGCAAGGAGGCCAAATCTGCCTTAGCTAAGACTATGTCCCCACTAACACGGGATTTCACGGCCCGATCAACTTTATCTTCTAAAGCCGTTTGCGCCGCTAATCTATCTAGATTGAGTCGACGACTAAAATCGGCAGCAAACGATCTAATCTTAGATTTTAATTTTCCCCACCAGGCGTTACCTACAACCGCCCCCGTCAATTCCCTCTGAATCATTAGTAGCAGCTGGTCCCGGAAATCCTGCTCACCAAATAATGAACAGTTAAATTTCCAGTAACCAGCCATTCTAACCTTAGGCTTATCTAAGTTTACACGGACCCGGACAAGCCTATGATCCGTATAAACTATATAGTGGAAACTTGGACACCCTAAGAGCCCTACATCGACTCTCCTAACTAACACTCGGTCCAGGTAGCTCGCAAGCGAGCCAGGATCCGAGTTACCACTAGTTGTCCAAGTCCATGACACCTCCTGAGGGTGCTCATTCCGGTACTTATCGACAAGATCAAACCTGCCGATAAAGTCCCGAAATGCCTTCACATCAGGATTGTTAGTACCCGGTTTTTTACCTATACGATCTATATCGGGGTCAAGGACGGCATTCCAATCCCCCACTAAGACTACCCGACGAGAAGTCGTCAAAAACGGCTCGATCTGCCGAAACAAAGCAGGCCGCTCAGCATGGCTATTGGGCGCATAAACCCCAATGAGACGTAAAGCCTTATCCTTTATAGTAACATCCAGCACACAAAGCCTGCCCGCCGGATCTGCGAAGACAAGGGAACATGCAGCCTTCAAAGACCTGCTCACTAGCCAAATGACACCCCTCGAAAGACCATCAAAACATGCTGAATAAAGGGCGAACCCTCTAGACAGTATATCCTCACGGTCATGAGAAGAAAACCGGGTCTCTTGCACACAACAAACATTCACCCCGAGGCGCTGAAGGTCACGAGAGAGCCTCGCCCTGCGAGACTCTGACCTCAGGCCCCGCACATTTAACGTAGCTAACCAGAGAGTCATTGAGAAGTCCGATTAGGGTTGTTTACCTGAATTAAACATGGCCGGGGTAAGGATACCGACGGCCTCTCCCATAGACCCATGGCCCATTTCAG